GTGGAACTTTACATTATCGACAGGTTCAGAAGTGGATTATTTGCTGTTTGTTCTTGTATTTGGATCGATACTTGATACGTTTAAGATTTGGACAAACGTGCACTGAAAGTGTATTTGTGCTCTGCTCTTTAAAATTCTGTTGACATGAATCATTACTGTTGCATCTTTATAAAACAAACAAATATGATTTATGGTGACTTGACAATAGTGAAAATAGTCTTCTTACATTTTTAAATTAATCAAATAAACTGTTAAAACTCTTTATTAGTATGATTAAAATTATTATGTTGATGTGTTTGTGACATTTTCATTGACTAATCACAGTGTAAGTAAATCCTGGTCTTCTCACTCAGAGTACAAATGTTGGTGTAAAACTACTCTCTGGGACCTGATAGTTTTATAATTTATCGTGAGCAGATGTAGTTTTTTTACAGTGCTTGCAAAGAATAAACTATTTAATTAATTAGCCCAGTGTCATTTGGGGACGATATAAACCATTAAAATCTTGATACTTGCACAATATCAACAATATCCAAAGACCTTACTCTGAAACACCAAAGGTTTTGTACACAAGTTACTCAGACATGTTCAATTCACTTCAATTCAATTTACACAGTGCCAAATCACAACAACAGTCACCTCAAGGCGCTTTATATTGTAAGGTAGATCCTACATTAATAGATACAGAGAAAAACCCAACAATCATATGACCCCCTATGAGCAGCACTTTGGTGACAGTGGGAAGGAAAAACTCCCTTTTAACAGGAAGAAACCTCCAGCAGAACCAGGCTCAGGGAGGGGCGGGGCCATCTGCTGTGATTGGTTGGGGTGAGAGAAGGAAGACAGGATAAAGACATGCTGTGGAAGAGAGACAGAGGTTAATAACAGATATGATTCAATGCAGAGAGGTCTGTTAACACATAGTGAGTGAGAAAGGCGACTGGAAAGGAAAGAGCCAGTGCATCATGGGAATCCCCGGCAGCCTACGTCTATTGCAGCATAACTAAGGGAGGATTCAGGGTCACCTGGTCCAGCCCTAACTATATGCTTTAGCAAAAAGGAAAGTTTGAAGCCTAATCTTGAAAGTAGAGATAGTGTCTGTCTCCTGAATCCAAACTGGAAGCTGGTTCCACAGAAGAGGGGCCTGAAAACTGAAGGCTCTGCCTCCCATTCTACTTTTAAATACTCTAGGAACAACAAGTAGGCCTGCAGAGCGAGAGCGAAGTGCTCTAATAGGGTGATGTGGTACATGTGATTTCACATATTTGACAGATATTTTCCAGAAGCGTTTTGAATTCATCTATACAGCCTCTCTGGATTTCCGGTTCGTGAACAGACTACACCCTCTCAAACTAGGCCACACACTGTGTTGCCATCAGGTGTTCGATTTTAATCTGAATATAACTGATGCCTGCTTATCAGACCGCTTCCCTGTCATTTGTATGCACTGCTCCATGTTTCCTGTACCTAACACTGAATTGGACACATTACGCTGATCAGGTTGTATTAATTCCTCTACTGCTAAGAATTTTGGTGAGGCCTTTGAAAGCACCTGCCTCCAGCTCCCTCGCCTTATCAACTTATTTAGCACCACTTGCGCCACAGTTATCGAAACCATTGCTCCGTATAAACTGAGTAAACCCAGGCCTAAAAAGTCACCCTGGATCAGTGACACTGCTGGAGCTCTCAGGACAGATTGTATAAAACCAGAGAGACAGTGAAGGAGGAGCAAGTTTCAAGCTCTGTTTTTAATTTTGTAAAATAACCCAGAAGAAATCTGTAAATCTGCTGTTGTAAATATTTCTTTTACAAAATCACAAAAACCTCCAATAATCCCATTATGAGGATTTTGTTCTCCACCACCAACTCTGTTATCTCCTCCAGTGCCTTTTTAGGATGCCTCTGCTAGTAAAGTTCAGAATATTAGGAGTAGTATTACTACCTCCCCTCACATTTTAACTGATTCTTTCTTCTGATCTGTTTTCAAACCACACTATCCCATCCTTCTTTCATTAAATCCACAACCCATCCACTAGACGCTGGTCCAAGCATTCTCTCAATCATCAACAGTTCTGTCTTTCAGTACTGGTTCAGCTCTCTTCAAGCAGGCAGTTGGACCTCTGATGAAGAACAATAACCTAGAACCCACCTTACCAAAAAACTACTGACCAACCTACAAACTTCCAATCCTCTCAAAAGTCTCAAAAGGTGAGTTTCGGATAGTGACGGCCAAATGACACTTTCTGAAGCACTGAAGCTTGTATTGAAAAAGGTTCATTGATCAAAGCTTTTCAATACAGTCTTTGGTGACATCTGGTGGCCAGAAATATGAAGAGCAGCTTGAATCTACAAATTAAAAGGAACTGCTTCATTATGATTGCCCACTCTACCAAGTTTCTGCCCACCAGCTTCAGTTTAACATCATGTGACATATCCATGCTGTGTTCTTCCTTTTCTTGTCACTTCTTTTTATGACACATGAAGCTTCAACTTCAAACAGACCATCATTAGTATCAAGGCAACCTGCAGCATAGAATAGAAACCACAACGGTCTTGTACAACGCCTGCACTTCAGTGCTGGTGTCAGCGGCACAGCACTACACTGGCTCACCTCATACCTCAACAACAGATTCGTCTCTGTCAGCAGTGCAAACTATTCTTCTTCGATAGCTGCCACCACACTGCCACCACCATATTTTAATGTTGTTGTTGTTGGTGCTCAGTCTCTTTCTCATGAACACTGACTTTAATTGGCACAGATGAGGCCTGCGGTTCTTGGGATGTTGTTCTGGGGTCTTTTGTGACCTCTTGGAGGACTCGTCACTGCGGTCTTGGGGTAATTAGTCGGCCTGCCACTCCTGAGAAGGTTCACTAGTTCATGAATTACACGACTGTAATTCATTATTATCAGGAAGTCCTACAAACTCCCTGAAAGCCTTCAGCTAATCCAAAATGCTGCAGCAAGAGTCCTGACAGGGACTAGAACGAGAGAGCAGATTTCTCCTGTTTTGGCTTCCTGTTAAATCCAGAATTCAAAATCCTGCTCCTCACATACAAGGTCTTAAATAATCAGGCCCCATCTTATCTTAATGACCTTGTAGTACCATATCACCCTATTAGAGCACTTTGCTCTCACACTGCAGGCCTACTTGTTGTTCCTAGAGTATTTAAAAGTAGAATGGGAGGCAGAGCCTTCAGTTTCCAGGCCCCTCTTCTGTGGAACCAGCTTCCAGCTAAGATTCAGGCTCAATCAGGTGACGCTGAATCCCTGAGGCTGTTGGGGATTCCCATGATGCACTGGGTGTTTCTTCTTCACTCACGATGTGTTAATAGACCTCTCTGAATTGAATCATACCTGTTATTAACCTCTGTCTCTCTTCCACAGCATGTCTTTATCCTGTCTTCCTTCTCTCACACCAGCCAATCACAGCAGATGGCCCCGCCCCTCCCTGAGCCTGGTTCTGCTGGAGGTTTCTTCCTGTTAAAAGGGAGTTTTTCCTTCCCACTGTCACCAAAGTGCTGCTCATAGGGGGTCATATGATTGTTGGGTTTTTCTCTGTATGTATTATTGTAGGGTCGACCTTACAGTATAAAGCACCTTGAGGCGACTGTTGTTGTGATTTGGCATTTTATAAATAAAATTGAATTGAAAAGAACCAAATAGGGGCTGTGGCCCCCCCACACTCCCTAGCAGATCGTTACATGGAGAAACCTTTGGAATACAAGCGCGCTGATCCACACAGGTATGCACACAGGTGTTCACTGCTCGTAGACCCAAATTACACCTTTCTTGGCTGCTACTTCGAAGCACATCTGTCCTGCGTGCTGCACAACAACATTGAATATTTAGTATTTACTGCTGTTTACACTTAGCTAGATTAATGCGATGGTGTTGTGTTTAGTATGTTGCTTTGTTTTTTTTCTGCTTGTTTTCTATTCTTCTCTCAACAGGTGATCCAGGAGATTTTTATTTTTTTTCTCCCCCCCTTTCTCATTGTCCCTCTCCCCTTCTGTTTTTCCTTTCCTTCCTCTTTCTTTCTCCCTTTCCTATCTCTCACTCATGTCTGTCCCGTCTGTAACATCTGAAAATAAAATATAATAAACAATAAAAACAAAGATCGACCAAATGGAACAATACGGCAATGCCACGATGATCCATTTGGCAAAGTAAATCCACTGGGTATCCTTGTTGGTCTTCAGACAACAATTCTGATGGCTAAAGAACCAAATGGGACAGGCGAGAAAAAAAAAAAAGAAAAAAAAAGAAAAAAGAACCAAATAGATGCCACTCATAAGAATGATTCCATTAGCATTTGTCACAAAAACGTTTCATCTATGGCGCTGTTCTACTGTACCTGAGCACTCACAGTGCTTTATACAACATTCCTCATTCACCCGTTCACACAAGCACTTTTAAAAAAAATGCTTTTTCTATCTAACATTCACACACATTCATACTCTGATGTATGAATTGGGATTAGTATCTCGCACAAGGATATTTGAGATGCAGAATGGAGCATCCACAGATCGAAGCAATGACCTGCATTTGGTGAACTTTTGTCTGTTTTGTTTTAAATGCCTTTGTATTTTTGTGCGAAGACCTTTGTGATGTTTGTCTTGAAAGGTGCTATATAAATAAAATTTTAGTAATGTTACTGATCTACCACCTGAGCTAAAAAAGCCAAAGAGTTGATTCTGTTCATGTGGAAGTTTTCAGTGGGAGAAACGTTTCGTCACTCATCCAACTGACGTCTTCAGTCTGAAGAAGTAAATAAGGGGAGACAGCTGGATCAAAGAAAGGCCTTTTAAAGGAATGGTTTAATAACGTCGAACGCATGCGGTGTCTGTTAGTAAAGAAAGCATTAATCAAAGCTAAAATGTCTTTGAGAAATGTTGAACGAATGGAGTCTAGAAGGCTCATTAATGGTTTAGAGGAAGAGATCACTGAAGTTAACACAACAGAGTGAGGACACTTCTTTTTGTGATTCTAGTCTGTGGAAGGCTTTCGAACTGTGTTTATTTACACTGTCAAAACATCCAGCCCACTGTGACCAAAATATTACAAAATTCACATACAGGAAAAACACAAACCTCATTCAAATGACTTCAACCAGGAGTCCTTAAAACAGTTCAGAAATATACTCAAACTTATGTGTGTAATACAGACATATACTCTTATATAGGACAATGACACAGATGGAATTAGATGGTGAAATATTTATTCACGGTAACTTATTACTTATTTCAAAAATAATAAAATTCTAGTAAAAAAGTAGCCAAACCACCACACTGTCCAATTGTGTCTAAATGAAAGGGAAACAAAATACCCGGACTAAAGGTGCAGTTACAGCCCGTTAAGATGCTCGACTGGCAAAGACAGACACGTTTTCATTTTTAGATTCTTTCAGTATCACAAAGTGTCACGTGGCCCTAAAGTTCCATTTACAGGTTGAAACAAACAAGTGTGTTGTGATTCCATTTATACAGAGTTAAACTGGGATATATAGCATCAGTCCAGTTCTGAAATGTTCATGTAGAGGTGACAGTCCTGTGTTATGCATTAGCTACACAGATTTGAGACACAGCGTTCGAACATCTGCAGCTGAGCACTATATACCAGAAAAAGCTAAGCTAGTCTTATAAAAACTTCAGAAAAGCAGACATATTAAAGATAGCCAGTGCTGCACCTCAGCCTCATAGTAGATACACTTATGGTATCAATGTGAAACAAGCCATCTTCGTTCAGTCAGTCAATACTTCGTTGTCCCCAACGTCTGCCAGCCCATACTGGCAGGGTGACAATGACGCCGCGTTCACGGCTGCAACATTTTGGAAATCAAACAACAATTAGTTGGAAATTGCTGTAATCCTACTGATGCAACAGCAACACAGCAGTTAGTACATCTTTGAAAGCACACAGTCAAACATGCACACAACAGGGCCCTGTACTACGAAGCAAGTCCAGTATATCCCATCCTTTATTCTCTTACTGGAATATCTGAAATCAGGATAAAACCTCCCATCGCTGGTCAACCCGGGATTTCTCTGCACTATCACATGAAAGGGATGGTGTTGCCTGGTCAAACATGGTACGTAAACAGCCAGCAGAGCAGCAGATTTTACAGTGCTACCCCTCAGCCTCCTATGGTATTAATTTCAAAAACCTATGTCGCCTCATTCTTGAGTTATCGCTTCACAAACTTGGGCCTGTCGGCAGGGTGACCACAGTCCCCATCAGTCTGATACGGCTGAGAGTTAAGAAGGAAGATAAAAATATGAGAAGTTAAACACATGCAGTAACAGAGGTGCTGTACACTGCTTTAGTATTAAAATTATATGAAGTTTAGCCGATTTGAAACCAGGAAGGAAAGCTGCCAAAACTGCTGACTGTGTAACTTATCAAACTTCTCAATATCACAGCTCTATCATTAAGACATCAGAGGATCTGATGGACTATAATGTAATGAAATGTCTGTTTGAAAGAGTTTTTATTGTATCAGCTGCAGCCTGACAGTGAATAAATACAAGAGCAGAATTCATTTGATACAAACTGAGCAAGTACAACAAGGAGCTCTGTTTTGGGACCATACACTAATCCTCACAGAACTGAAACGGTTTAATTGCAGCGAACATGTAGACTTCACACACTAAAAATAATTTAGACCCTCCCAGTATCCACACACAGAGGTCTGAGGGACCGCACAGACTGGTACGTAGGTGGTGATCTGCGACCTCTATCATAACCTCTTTTTATAAGAGGTTAGTTACCATGGGTACATGAGTGATATATACCACGTCTTACTGCACCATCTAAGTAAAGAAAATCCAGGGTTAACCCTGAGATGACCTGGATAAGACCATTTTTATCTTGACCATCCTGCTTCATAGTAGAAGCCATAGGACATGAGCTGGATGTGCCACAAGTACAAAACAGGCCCCAAAATAACCGGCAGCGTGTTTGGGGCTTGAGTCACTGGTTGAACAGCAGCGCTCGCACACATTGGCAGAAAGACATTTTTCAGAACACTATTTAACCCCCACATGGCAGAAAGTGTCATCTGTTTTTTTTAAAGCACGGCATGGTCAGGGACACGAACAGGTAAGTGTGGCGTTCTAAAGTAACAGATAAACATTGGTTGGACTTTAAGCCAAAGAGTAAACGGCCGTCCACGCAGGATGTGATCACGGTGTATCGCTGTGTTGTTGAGAGTCAGCGGCCTGCAGACATTCAGGTTCTCGAGGGTTAACTCCAAACTTCATGCCACCAGCAGCCATCTTGATAGTTGTTGCCTGAAGGTCTCCGTCACTACAAATCACTTCCTATGTGGGTGCCTTTAATAACAGCTGTTTGCTATGAGACAACCAAAACACACACAGAATGCAGCAAACTTCAAACACTACTTTGAAGAGAATTCCAGGAAAACTGCTTTTTTTGGGAAACTGAGTCGCAGCAAAGACAGCAGGAGGCCAGCTTTGTTTAGGCCAAGCAGATACATCAGACAACAGTGCAGAGCAATGGACACTGTCATGACTTCATGCTAGTGAGCACACAAGCCACTAAAATGTGAAAAAGCTGAAGCGGGTTGCTTCACACCTTAATAACAGACAAATGGAGCACCAGAGCAGATATCAACAGTCGTACAGTAAGTCAATTTAAACCCTTTCCCGCTTCGGTCTGTCGAACACGACACAAATGCAGCATGCAATTCTAGTCATTTGCTTCAGCTGGATATTGCAGCACCCACAGACGCCTTCTCACAGTTTTATCCAAATCTCTGCGAGCGTGTTCAGCTGCTGATCGACGCTGACACAGTACAGATTCCCCTGTCAGCACCGCTCACTGCTCAACTCTAGGTGTGTAGTCAGGCCGTCGAGTCTGAATGATCTTTGGTCGTGGTGGGCGGGGCTTGTCATCCTGGTCGCTGTCATCGGGTGCGGAGCTGTCACCGCGTTCGTCGTCGCACACATGGACGACCACGCTGGGAGTGGTTGGTGTTGCTGTGTGAAGCTCGTACTTCCCCCCTAAGAATAAAACAAAAAAAGGTCAAATTGGAGGACGTTTCCCACAGGGCGTGCTACAATGTACCAAGTCGATGAGGTTTCCCTCTTCAGCGATAGAGATAATGCAAAATGGAGAACAAAGCTGTCACGATCCTGACGACCTGATGATCGCAGTTTTAGATGTCAATGAGGTCTGACATCAGCTGGCAATTTCAAATGTATCAAAGAAACTATTTTAATCATTCAATTTTAGGAAACATTGCTTTTATACATCTGGAGGCAGAATCTAGATGCTTTAGCCACATCAGCCGACACCAACTCCTAACCCATACTACCTTTACTTCTTCTAACTTTGACATTGGTGGTGTGAACATAGCATCAGCATGTGGAGCTGCAACAGGTCTAAATAGTTTTAACAGTCAAATAGTCAAATTTAAAGTAATAGGGAACAGCTTTACTAAGTGACAAACGTGTTTCGGGGTGTGGCCTTCATCGGGGTCATTGAAGGCCACACGCCAAAGCGTGTTGGTCACTTAGTAAAGCCGCCCCTATCCAGTCTTTAAGTCTGACGTCATTAGCCGTTCCCGGGCCTAAACTCTGCTGCAGGTCCCAAAGTCACATGATCACTGCGGCATTACTGAGAGTTAAAAACTGTCTAAATTCTTTCATCTGTAATAAAATGATCAGCGTTGCTGCTTTACCAGGTGTAACAATTAAGTTTAACATCCAGGCATCCATGAAAACGGGATTTATTACATTTAACAGAGTTAGAAGTTAACAGGAAGTTAGCTCGCTAGCTTCCACCTAAACATGATGTAGCATGTTCTGACTGAGAGATTTCTGAAAAATTCAAACGTACAGCTCTGCTACCACTTCCAACATAAATCAAGACAAAACTAAACAGCAGTGACGTTTGTAGGGTTACTGAAGTTGGGCTAGCTGCTATATAATGATGTGCTACGTGATCGCTAGCAACACAGCTATGTTAGCATAGCATAAACACGGTGAAGCTGGAGGATGAACGCTAACTTTTTTGCTACTTGATAAAAGTTAACGTGAGGGTTCCTGATGGTTAGAGACAAATGCAGTCACATAGCAGGATGCTGTAAACGGACCAAGCTTCAGTCAGGAGAACAACTGAGATTATCCATCCACAATACCAGGTTAGTCACTAATATACTGCTGCATGCGCTGGGCTGTAGTTACATCGTAAGGTTTTAAAAACAGAGCTTTAACATGATTAGCGGTAATAAAAACCGAGAGGCCGACAGTGATCACTGACTGTTTGTAAGGGCTTGTAGATTACATAGAACAAGACACAAAGCATTAAAACAAGTTAAAAACACAACAGCCTTAGTGAACACAGCAGTTTGGAAGCAGGATTCGTCACGTCATCACTTAAAGACCGGATTACTTTAAGTGTTGCTGGAGTCTTCGGGTCATCAGATCTTTGTCTTCTCCATGCACCTTGGAAGAAGGTGAAGTTGTGCCAGAAACATTTGTTGGTTTCTAATCCTCACTGCTTTTAAATGTGCTGTGTGTCTATGCTAGCAGATGTGCATGAAGTGTGGGTTTCCCATCACTTCCCTGAGCTCAGTGTCACCCATGTCTCTCGAGGAGCCATTCGCCTGTACGGCTATACAAAGCTGTGTTGCCAGACTTTCACTAACACATCATCATCATAATAATAATAATAATAATAATAATAATAATAATAATAATAATAACAACAACAATAATGGATTGTGTGACATGCACAAGACTTGTAAGCATTAATTTATAGAACCTCCCCCACATTTCATGAAAGTTTGACCTTGAAGAAGAGGTCAGAGGTCAAAAGTAACGTGATATTTAGAATCCCTATATGTATTCAATAGAAACAAGAGCAGTAAGAAACATAATAAAGTTGTATAGTGCCATTTAAAACTGACTTTTACCTTCAGATCTTTCTATTGCCCATGAAAAAGAGGTCAGTGGTCAAATGTGACATATTTTAAATCTTTTAAATCTTATCTGCAATACCTTCTATATGTTCACAATACACTGTTTGTAATAATGATAGTTTCTAAGCCTTTTAGTCAATTATTGACCAATTATCATGAAACTGACCTTGAAGATCTCAGTGTGAATGGTTTGTATCATAATTCAGGGCTCAGCTTCCTGAGTATCTGGAATCTAGTATGCACTGTTGCTCTATTTACGTGATGTCATCTCGATCCCGGCCTGGGACATCTTTTCTCTAAGGAGATTATTTAACAGGGACCATGTACAACAAAACAAAGTGGAAATGAAAATGAAACACTGCAATGAGCACCTACCATAGCGCAGCTCCTTAAGTGCAATAGATGGTTCTTTTGTCCTTTTTAAATCTCATTTTATAGTTTTTCTCTTTATTATTTCTGTTCTTTTCAGTGCAGCAGGGACAGCACTTAATTTTGTTGTACTTGTTTCCGTGACAGTAACGACGCTCTGATCGCGGTGTTGGGTTTTCCCTCTAACCACCACACCTGTCTGCAGTTCTGCTGGCAGTCCTTGCTACCTGGCTCCTGACTTTGAGTTGTAGGCGTTGATGTCAATATCAGTGTGGAGACAAGCTCACACACTTTGCACTTGTAATCAGTTGTGATGAATTTATCGAGAATTAAATGAAGGAAGACAAAAAGATTAAAAGAAGAGGAACAGCGTTTTAAATCATGTACCACTCAGCTTCGTTCCAAGCCTGTAAAGAGCCTTCAGTTTGCATTTGAGGCTGCAGGAAGTGTCGATTGTGTTTTACAAACCTGTCACACATTCACACACGGATGGAAAACACAAATCATAATGTGTTGTATACCTGGCCCCAGTTTAGAGATGGCACAAAGCAGGTCATAGTTGATGACCGGTGTGGCGTCCTGAGACTGTTCCCAGCCGACTGGAGGGGAAGCAGGAGGCGAGATCAGGAACTGCTTCTCTGGCTTGGGAGGCTCCAGCCGAGGACTCCCTATGTGCACAGACTACACAGTGCAAAGGCAGGGCAGCACTTTATAATAACCAGCAATATATCACAGGTTTACTGAGACTGTAGCATCATATAGAAAGAAATGGATTGATGATTATGTTTCTGTCACCTACCTACCCAGCTAACTAATGCACTGATATTTATACAGTGCTTCTATAGTCGTACCACTGAAGCCACACAGTCACATTAAACTGTAGATTCAGTGATTTATTGGATATTTTTTCCTATGTATTTCACCAATTTTAACTACAGTGAGAAAATTATTTATTCAATCCTCCTCTGACTTTGTAAGTTTGCTTAAAAACAAACGAACAGTTTCTCATTTTTAGGGTAGTTTCATTCTAGTAGAAGAAGAAAAAACGTTGCAAAGGTTCTACGTTGATTTGCATGTAACTGTCATCGTCCCACTGCTCCAGTGAGAGTACCACCCAAAGTCCCCACAGCAAACATGGAGGTGGAAATCCTATGCTTCTGGGATCCGCCCTACTGTGAAGTGGAACGTCTAATCACTGCCCACTGCGTCATTCACCACAGGGCATTGTGCACCGGTCGCAGCAGATGGCCCCGCCCCTCCCTGAGCCTGGTTCTGCTGGAGGTTTCTTCCTGTTAAAAGGGAGTTTTTCCTTCCCACTGTCGCCAAAGTGCTGCTCATAGGGGGGTCATATGATTGTTGGGTTTTTCTCTGCATGTGTTATTGTAGGGTCGACCTTACAGTATAAAGCACCTTGAGGCGACTGTTGTTGTGATTTGGCGCTGTGTACATAAAACTGAACTGAAATGTTTATTATTTTGTAGCATTAGAAAGGATGAATTAATCAGCTAGCTGACATAGCAAGCTAACAACATTGTTTAGGTAGACAGAATGTAACACTTATAAACTACACCAAGTTATTCTATTCTTATATACATATACAGAGCAGCAGCTCCATTCATATTAAACTGAAGCTAACATGTCAAATTTAGTCTGGAGGATGCTGACCGGTGTCACAATAAGTGAAAGTATGCACATCTCTATAAGAGAAGAACGAACACTGCTATAACACACAAGCTAATGTTCTTCCACAATGTACAAGCTGTTTTTTAGTTATTATTTCAATTTTCATTTATTATTCCAAACTCTGGGACAACCATAGATGACATTCAGAAAGTGAATCAAGAGCTCCGCCTGGTTTAGCGCGTTGAAGGTCTGAACAAGTTACATTCATGTGTCTGATAGATCTCAGCCTACAGATATTACCTGAGCGAAGTAAAGTCTCATTTCTTTGCCGTTGAAGTCCGTCTTATGTAGTCGGAGTCTCGCCTCCGCTGCAGCCAGAGCATCTCTGAAACTGATCCTGATCCGCCGAAACGACTTGAAGTACTGGAACTGCACCTCCGAGTCGAATGAACGGAACAAGGCCTCAAAGCCAGCCTGGAAACACAGAGGAAGCAGACAGCAGGAGGAGACTGAAGTAATGACTGAGATCTCTGAACCATCTTACAGACTTCAACTCCGTTCAGCCCATTTAGCACTTTCTTCACTAAAAATATTGAGCAAGAGCCAGTTTGAAGATTCTATGAATAAAGGCACAGACATCTGGATCATGCAGACACACTGAAATGATCGATATTACCTAAACGCCTACAGATTAGCACACATTAGTGCAGATGTAGGATTCATCTTTTTCTTAACACTGTTTTATTATCGAGTTGCACCAACAGCTTAAGGAAACTATGTTAAAAAGCACGGCCATGCTGCAAAATCCTCATTACTGTGTTTTACAGTCAGTCTTGGCTGTCATTACACCATCTAACAGTCGAGTTGCTGCATTACTACTGAAAGACCGTTTTTAGAGGGTAGTTGAGCTGGATGCTTGGGTTGATTCAGCTGTAAAATCACGTTTAAGCAGACCTCTCAATAGCTACATTACATGATGAACTGCACATAAAACCTATATACAGTCAACACAAAATGCAGTTGGAAGCTGCTGGTCGAGCCTGGAAGCCAGTAAAGATGTCTCAGGATGCACACAGGGTCAGCTGCAGTCAAATTCCAGGAAATCCTTTAGTGACACCGTACTGTTACCTGCACCTCAGAGTGGTGGAATAATTCCCGGCTGGTCACCGAGGCCACCAGGCAGAACCGGTTACATTTAGTGGTCTTAATGTGCATGACAGGCGACCCGCCGATCCGCAACCTTTTCCACCTGATAACTGAGTTCAGGGTGCGATGCAATGCTGTAACAGTCAATGAAGTTGAGGAAGAGGAGGGACGAGGTTGGAGGACTGTTGCTTTCCCCAGGGTGACGGACGAGCAGAGACAACGGGATGTTCCAAACAGGACCGTGGTCGGGTTCTTCCCCAGCACTGGCTTCACATGCGCAGCAGCAGTTTTTCTCCTTCGGTGCCCACAGTACATCAAGTCCACAACGTTAGAGAGGCAGTGCGGCACATTCCAAGATTATGAAACGAGAATCTAAAGTTAGAAATTGAAAACAACATCTAACATTTGCTAATCTGCGTTTTCTTCTGCTGCAGCTTGTTCCTGTCTCGCTCAGCAGCAGACTGAAAACTCAAGGAATTTTCCAGAGATTTGGGTGTGGAGAGCTGAAAATGTCACTCACACTTTAATCTCTCTCTCTCTCCCAGATCCAAAGCCACTTAAATGAGGGCCTGCCAGCCTATGACGCATTAGCCACAGTCCCCTCCTCTCTTTTTCCTGGTCTCATTCACTGCAGGCCAATCATCGGTGGAAGGAGGAGGGAAATCTATTTTCTTCTCTCTTCCTATTCCTCCACTGACAGATACAACACTGACTAATCATACATACATAATGAAGGGCAGTGACTGCGTCTGTGCGAGAGAGTGGGAGACAGAGCTGACATCACTGCCTCCTGATGCTGTTTCTTAGTGGAAACTATGACAGGGAGCCTCACTTTGGATTCCACACGCAGAACAAAAACATACATTCATATCTTTTCTTTGTATATATGACTGAAAGACAGAGAAATGACACAGGTAGCTGGGAGACTGACGCCCAAAGTAAAAAATAAAAGGGGTGAAGGAAGAGTAGAAAGACAGGACGAGTGAGAAGCATGAAGGGATCCAGAGGCAGGTTGATAACATGTTTCTGTGAGGCATTAATAGCAGAGAGCTTAAAGCTTCACACAATGACAGACAACACTGTGACTGCTCATACAGTCAACATCATCATCTTTATTGATAAAGCACTTTAAAACAACCAAAGTGCCGTACACTGGAACTGAATAATACAGTTACATAAGATATCAATTAAAGCCAAATAAAAGAAAAAGTATAATCTTTAATTAGTTAGATATTAACTAATTTAATTACAAGAAGAACTACGTCTCTCTGAGGCCAAAAGCCAAAGACTAAACATGACGGCTGACATATACAACATACATGACTTTTCATTTCATTGAGGGGGAAAAAAGTCACAATATTTACAAAGATCACCAAGAAGCACTTAGAGTGCAGATGTCTGCTAAATCAAATGACTGACCTTGAAGGAGAGGTCAGAGGTCGATGTTTTGAACAATGACCTTGGAGACTTTGGTAGATCTGAGCCAAATTTGAATGGATTGTTAAGACTCTGAAAAATCAAGTTTACAGACACCATGAAGCTACCAGCAGATTACTCCAACCTGGAAGTTCCAAGCTGAGTAAGCACACGTTTCATTTACGCTGTACAAAGCTAGTAACACACTGATAATATTCACGGGGAACTCAGTGGGACTGTAAAAACAACACTGGACGCCAACTGAATGTTCTTGCTGCTGTTAGACCTCAATCCCCTGATCATCACCGACATCTGTCACACATCTGTCACACTTGGGGTGGCTGCAGCTAGGTAGAGCAGGTCATCTACTGATCGGGCGGTTGGTGGTTCAATCCCTGGCTCCTCCAGTCTGCATGCCAAATATCCTTGAGCAAGACACTAACCCCAAGTTGTTCTCCGGTGCATCAGAGTATGAAAGTGTGTCAAGCTTAATTAGGTTACTTGGGTAAGTCTAAATTGCCCATAGGTGTGAACCTGAGTGTGAATGGTTGTCTGTTAGCCCTGCGACAGCCTGGAGACCTGTCCAGCTGGGAAAGGCTCTAGCTGCCCTGCGACCCCGACAGAATGGATGGATGTTGTATAAAGCACTTTGAGAGTAGAAAAGCACTATAAGAATCAGTCCATTTACCATTTAACAGTGGACATGGCTACAAATTTTGCAGTGGAGCAACCATCAGCCAACTACTGTACATGGGTGACAAGCTATAAGCCAGGACACAGACTCACTGATCCACATCACCAGGATGTACAGTGAAGGCATCAGGATGTTATTCAGACTGGATAAGTACAGTCGAATGGCTGCAAAGACAGGCAAGCTCATCCGCACTGAAGGGGTGGAGGAACAACAGCAGATGTAGTACAAAAGCTACACGTACCTGGATATCCCACAGGCCAGTGGGAACATGATGACTATGCACAAAGGTCAGCCACAGTCAGGTACAGCCAGAAGGAAAAGCAGGTGCTGACAAGCCAGCTGAATGGTACGAATAAGCTCCAAGCTGTAAATGCATATGTCCAGTGTAGACGGTCAGAAAACGACTACAAGAAGACAGGACCAACTTCACCCCCGATCAGACCTGCACACTGTTAGACCTCTGCCTCACCACCACATACTTCAAATACAACGAAGGCTTTTACAGACAAAAACATGGCTGTGCCATGGACTCCCCCGTGTCACCTATTGTAGCCAACCTTTACATGGAGGAAGTGGAAAGGAAGGCTCTTGGCTCTTTCAAAGTAAGAGTACCCAGCCACTGGTACAGATATGTGGATGACACCTGGGTCAAAATCAAGACACAAGAAGTGGAATCCTTCACTGCGCACATTAACGCTGTGGATAAAAACATCAAGTTCACCAGGGAAGACACAAAGGACAACTGTTTGCCTTTCCTGGACTGCGCCGTGCACATTGAAGAGAACGGCAACCTCAACATCGAAGTTTACCGGAAGCCCACACACACGGACCAGTACCTCCTCTTTGACTCCCATCACCCTCTGAACACAAACTTGGAGTAATCAGGACCCTACACCACCGGGCAGAACATGTTCCCTCTAAGCCTGAAGGAAAAAAGAAGGAACACACACATGTAAAGGAAGCACTCAAAACGTGTGGTTATCTTAGGGCTGTGCGATATGACCAAAACCTCATGTCCCGATATCAGACATCTATCGTCCGATAACGATATAAATCACAGAAATGTAACATTTTTGTAAATTCTGTGAATCTCGAGCAGCTCGACTTGCGTGAAGTGTTTCCTGCTGCGCGTCGTGTAGCTGGAGTAGAGTGTTTTAACTGATGCATGAAACGATACATTTTTAGACATAAGTTGTAACGGCGCCGTTTTCTTTGTGAGTATTTATTACACGGCGTGCTGCGGGGAAAAGCCTGTTCTAACGTTTGAGTCTAAGCTTTATTTTTTAGCACCTGGCGGCTCTTTTTTACTTCTCATCAGTCAATAATCTGCTCTGTCACGTGATTCAGTTTATTTTGAAAAGTCTCAACAGGATCTTGAGCTTTATTGTGAAAGATTTATGTGGAACATAAACAAGCGGACACGTGATGGTTTTACCGTCGTTGTTGCTAGCGACGACGCATAAAAACAGGTGCTTGTCCGTCTGTAGTGTGGTTATATTAAATATAAGAGAAAGAGAACTTTAAGAAATTAATATAGCCCCTACAGTGACCATCAGAACCATGAACAAATATTGCCGTAAACAGTTTATTTTGCGACACCACGAAACAAACGATAGCGTAAAATGAAACGACAGACGCTTTTATATCATCATCCGATATATACGGTTATATCGAACAGCCCTAGGTCATCCTAACTGGGCGTTCTTAAAGTCAGCAAAGAGGCAGAGAAAAGAAGATCAGACACCAGCGAGGGAGGATAAGAAGGACAGACGCAACAACATTGTCATCCCCTATGTAGCCGGTGTATCAGAGAAACTCAGGAGGGTTTTCTCCAAGCACGACATCCCGGTGTATTTCAGACCCAGCAACATGCTCAGACAAAAACTGGTTCATCACAAAGACAAAACGCCAAAACACAGACTTAACAATGTGGTGTATGCTGTACAGTGCAGCGAGGAATGCCCAGACCTCTACATTGGAGAGACCAAACAGCCACTTCACAAGCGCATGGCACAACACAGAAGAGCCACCTCCACAGGACAAGGCTCAGCAGTCCATCTGCATCTAAAGGTCAAAGGTCACTCTTTCGAGGATGCCAATGTTCACATTTTGGACAGAGAGGACAGATGGTTTGAAAGAGGAGTGAAAGAAGCATCTATGTCCACTGTGAGCGACCATCTTTGAACAGAGGCGGGGTTTACGACACCAACTCTCTGCCATCTATAATCCAGTTTTGAGATCCTTTCCAGACGCCTTAACGCCCACTCACATCCTGGGCCATCTGACCTCAGGAAATCGCATGATAGGGTGGGGCCAGGTTTCACAATGAGCTCACCCGAAACTCTGGCTGATTGTGACCCACGCCCAGTTTCACACCTTGGCTCAGGCGATTAGAGGATCATCAGGGGGTCCTTTTGTCCCTCTGTGGGGGGAAACTCCCACTAGGTTTATATCTGGGACTCTCCACCATTTGACCTTAGAACTGAAGAAACTTCTCGGATGAGAGGTGAAACGTCTTCAAGCAACTTAAAGAAGTCCAGACGCTTTTCTTTGCAAGCTGCTTTGACTACGAGGACCTGGATGACTGAGAACCTTCACAGACACGTCCTGTAACAATAAGCAGGCACAGAAAGAAACAGGGAAAACCCTCCACCCAAAGTCCATGACCACGACACTCTATGTCCCTATAAAAGAGGGAGGACAAGGATTAGCGAGTGTCAGAGCCACAATCCAGGACCTCAGCCCCAAACTATGCAAACCTGCCCCGGAGACTATCCAACACATCGCAGCAGGATGTAAGATGCAAGCTGTGACAGTGTTCACTGAGAGGCACGACCAAGTAGCTTAACTGATGTACAGGATCATCTGTGTGGCACGTGGACAACACAGTCCCAAGTCCTGGTGGGAGCCATCATCAAACGCTGTTGAGAACAATGAGGCTAAGGTCCTGTGGGACTCCAGATAAGCAGCTGTTGGACAACCAACCAGACACAGTGGTGGGCAGAAAACCATAGCTGTGATAGATCCTGTCCTAGCTTAGAACATCAGGAAGAACGAGCACGGGGAAATCGAGAGGTACCAGGGCTGAGGGAACAACTGAAGCAGATGTAGAAAGGTCTCTGAGGAGCTCTGATAATGGCTCTGCGTCAGTGCTCCCCATCCAACCGGTAGGAGCTTCAGAGGTGCTAGAAAGCAGAATGGGAGACACTGTCCAAAAACAGGTGCCAAGCTTTCAGCATCATACTCAGAAAGACCAAAGGCTTCAGCAACGTATTGTGCAAAGGCTGTGAATTCTTATATACATGCTAGAGCAGGGCGATATGACCAAAAATATTTATCACGATATACATTTGAAAATTTACAATAACGATATAACTGACGATATAAGTGACACTACACAAAATACTTTACAACTCCACAACTTTATTAGTGCAAAAAACCCATCAATGTATTTTCACTTTGTCAAGAGATTTTTGTTTTTATATAATTTGATCAGCTTCATGAAATGTGTTTTTCTGTTTTTTAAGCAATCTACATGTCTATGATTTTTCACCTTATAACTTTGTGATGAACTTATTCAGCTACTAAATCACTTCCTGTTTTTAGAGAACAGATGTAGAAAAGGGAAATAACCCGTTGCTTTGGGTCTGTGCAAACAAGCAGCTGTTTTTTATCTGCATTAAAGTTATATAAAAATATATCAGTGCAAATTCTTTGCTGACAGTTTAACCAAAAGGCATTTCCAGTGGAAACTGGCCGACATATCCTCAGCATAACCATGTATAATATCCACACTGTGTGTGTGTGAGAGACAGAAATGTGCAAACACAGTGCTGTAATATTAGTGAGCCTCCTGACAGTCTGCTGATGCTCAGTGTCCATCGAGTGTTGTGTATTGATGTTAAGCAACACTACAGAAACTACAGACATACTTGCACTAATCACCTGCAGGTCTCAGCCTCACCCTGCTGCAGCCACTGTGTGTGCAAGCCCAGCCCTGCATTTTTTCC